CCGTCACCGGTGAACAGCGTAAGACGGTGCCTGCGCTCCGCTTCCAGCACCTCGGGTGGGGACGAGCCGGCGCCCCTCCCAGCTGCCTGTGCGCAGCGCGAGGCCTGGGGCCCCCCCGGAGCAGCCTCTGTGCATCCAGAGCCGCTTTTACTCCCAGTCTCTCCCACCGCGGTCTGAGCTCGACCCCAGCGCCAGGTCGGTGGAGGCGGGTACCGGGGCTGAGGCGCAGGCCAGGCTGCCGCGGTGCCGCGCCGCTGACCGTGGGGTCACAGGTCCTCCCCGCAAACACCCCTCGCAAACACTTCTGTTTTCTTCTAAGAACTATGTGTCGTCAGCAGAAGCTGGCGGCGGAAACCACATCCCTTTAACGTTTTGTTTTTTCCTTTCATTGCAGCAGGAAGCTTTTGTAAACCACCGGAACACGAGTTTTAAAGCTTTCCCCGTGTCTTGGTTCACTTACCACAAAAAAAAAATCTTCAAAACATTTTAGAAAAAAGGCGACTTATCTATGAAGAAAGAATTTAAAAAATGAAACAACTATAAAGAAACCACGTTGGAAGGATGGGAAGAGGCTAACAGCAGAAGAAATGTGAAGAGTCACCGGGAAAGCAAAGCAGAAAATAGATACCAACAAGCAGATGGCAAGGACAAAGAAGCGAACGCTAAGATGCTTTTTTGAGCTGGAATAAAGTGCAAACTGGACACTGTGAAAAGAAGTGAAAGCAAGAAAAGAGAGAAGGATGTCAGAAAAGTCTTTAGGAAAAAAAGGCATCGAAATAATGTTAACCTGTAAATACCCTGCAGTTTAATTTTGTCTAAATTTTCTGTTTTTAAATACAGGGCATCACAGTCGAGGTCTGACTGGACTTATTTTGCTGCGTCGTTTGACAGCTCTGCTGAACATCTGAGCCAGTCCCTGATCAGAAACTCGGTGAAGAGAAAGCGGCCGGAAATGGGACCAGCGGGAACACACAGAACCCGGGTAAGAGCAGCGCGGTGCGAGTCCCCACAGTGCGGGCGGGCGCGGGCGGGCTGCGTGGGAGCCCGCATCCCTGCAGTTCCTCTGGGTTCGGACTCGGACTCCGGAGCCTGGTGCGGTGCAGCCTTCGCCCAGTTTTCTTGGTCTCGTCCGTCTGAGTCAAGGCCAAACCCAGGGCACAGGAAGGACTGTAATTAGTGTTTGCCGAGTCAACGAGGGAAGGACCCTGCAACGTCACAGCCTTTATCTAATGGGGACGAGCATCAGCTCAGACACTGCTAAGACGCCCCTCGTTATCGGAATGCATCCTGAACGGAAAGCGGGCCATGCTCAGGGTAACGAGATGACACGTGCCCAGGCCAGCTCGTCACAGACTCCTGACACGTGACCTAGGATCCACAGTCACACTCAGGCAAATACGGCCCCGGAGTTCCTGCTGTGTTGTCACCTCGCGGGTGGCCCACAACCCGTGCCCCGTGTCATCAGGGTCATGCGCCTCGCCCGTGCGCAGTGTGCAGTGTGCAGTCCCCCACGGAGTGCACGTGCTAGGTGCCTGGTGGATGATTCCTGGACAAGCTCCTGAGAGGGACCAGCAGAGGCCTGACCGGAAGCCCTGACACCCACGCAGCCATCACTGTGAGTCGTGGCCGTGGCAGCCCGGCCAGCGAAGGTGCCACAGGCTGACAAACTCCCTAGTGGGCCCTGCACACCAAGACCAAGCCCGAGGGTGCAGGTCCCCACCCCGAGATAGAACCGGAGACGGGGAGGGTGCAGGGTGCTGAGAAGGGGAAATGCATGAACTCGAGGAAGTGGGTGATTAGGAAACGAAGCTGAGCGGTGAAGGGAAGTCGGCTGAGGTGGACACAGGACTGGGCGCGTGAGCACACAGCAGACTCGCCCGGTGAGACTTCCCTCGCCCACCAGGGAGACAGCGCGGCCCGCTCCCCGCCCTGCCCCGGTTTATACACAAAAAAACGCCGGATGAAACGCAGACTACAAGCTGCATCTGGCTAAGCTGGAACAGAAGGACCATTTCAGAGTAAGGAACCAAAAGAAAACAGAACTACCAGGCCGAGCGCGAGCTGAAGCCACGGACCCTCGCTGTGGGCTGCTGGACCCCTCCAGGCGGTGGGAGTTGGTGCTGAGCTCCGTGAACGCTGGAGCCGCCAAGGAGCTGTCCAGCCCGCGAGCTCGGAGTCGGGCCCCCTGCCCATCAGCACCGTGCTGGGGCACGATAGGGAGCCAGGCCACGGCCCTGGGCTGCAGTAAATGGCACCGTGGGGAACGCGAACTGCACGCCTGATGGGACGGAAACGTGGGCCACCACACGGGGGCGGGAGTTGGGGGTGGGGGACACCGTCCCATCATCTCAGGCCTTCCCCACCCACGGCTGGCCTGGGCAGGGAGATGACCTTCTGTGTAGCTAGTGAATCAAGATCGAACTTTACATTTCTCCGCAAAGGGCTTGGAAACTGAGTTCTAACACTCCTGAGACCCCGTCGCATCCAAAAGCAAAGTCCAGGAGAGAGAGCTACCTTGTGAGGAGATCAGCAAACCGCGGTTTATTGGCTTAATCCACCGAGTTTTTTTGTAAATTGAGGTATAATTAACATATAACACTATATTGGTCTCAGGTGTACAACATAATGATTCGATATTTGTACAAATTGCAAAATGATCGCCACAATAATTCTGGTTAACATCTGCCCTCTGTTTTTGTAAATGAAGTTTTATCGGAACGTAGCCAAGCTCATGGGTTTGTTTTACCTACCACAGAAACGGCACGGCCTGCAAACCCCAGACCTGCTTCTACGTGGCCCTTTGCAGAGTCCTCTATGAGCCACACCGTGGTCAGTGAGGACGACTTCTTTTTGTATTATTACCTGAAATCTGAGTTAAGCATTATCTCAATTCCCCTGAACTAAATCTAAATTACTGAGTAGTTAGAGGTAAAATAATGCATCGGATTTAAAGACTTTTGTCACATTGTTTATTCATTCTTTCAGCCTGAACGTGTCTGGTCATTTTATTTACTATGTGGGAATTTTGGTGTGTGATGTATTTATGTGTTAAAGAAAAACGTTAGTGTATTTGGGGGGTGGGAGGATTGAAAAAATTTAAATGATGGTGAGTCTCTTGCAGTACCTTCCGACATTTTATGGGTGTCCTTTTTAAATGCACTGTAAACATGGATAAGTGAGGAAGCAGGAAGTGAGAAAATGGAATTTCTTTGAAAAATTCTACAATTCATTCTTCTTTTACTCTTCCCAAACAGTCTTTTCCCACAGCCTGGATTCATGAGTTTCTACACTATCTACTGATACTGTCTATCTCCACCTCAAAGCATGGACTGGTAACTGTAACTGTAATTAGCAATTGTCCAGATAATGTGTTGCTCAGTCAAAAAAAAAAGTGAAAAAAGAAGAGTGATTTTGACTTGCTGTTCACTTACGTCCTTGAATTCATAAGACGCTGCCATAATTACTTGGCAAATACACAAAGTGAACCACATCTGCTGGCTTTGAGCTGGCACAGCTGAAGTTCCTTAGCTTCTGTGCTAAACTTCTTATATGGCTATGATTTTTAGTTGCCTATTATGTCTGTATTTATGCAAATTACAGTGTTATTTATAAGTCAGCAAACAATCATTTCTAAGAAAACATCTGCACTGCTGTCTGATGACTCGACACCTGCAGAGTCATCCTGCTCCAAATGGAGCCATCCAGGGTTTGAATCAAACCGTGGCTCATGACAAATGTCAACCATTTGTGTGTGTATTGATCTCGGTCTTTGAGACATGTATTTATTAGTGATTGGTCTTAGATGTGCCTTTTATTTCTAAACGTTTTTAGGTCTTCCAAATATAACAATCTGATGGGATGAGAACAAAAGAAAGATGTAGATTTTAATTCTGGACGTCCAGTCACTTACCAGTTACGGGGCCTTGTGACTGTGTGAGGGCTTCCCAGCTCCGCTTCCCGCTCCGTGGAGTGGGGGTCACAGCTCGTCTCTCAAGGGGATGTCCTGAGGATTAAACGAGAAAGTGCACGTGAGCACCGTGCACACTGCCCGACACCGAGCTCTGCCAGAGCAGGGTTCCCTCTCCACCTCCACTTCCCTGCCCCCCACTGAAGCACGGCCACCCACCCTCCCCTCAGCCCGAAAGGCCAGGAAAAACACTGCGGGGCCTTGGGGACAGCAGGAGGCTGGCTGAGGAGGTTCTAAGCCGAGCCTGGGTCTACCGGAACCGTTACTGAAACTCATGATGGTTTCTGCAAACCAAGAGGAGAAGACGAGGAGGCAGCCGCATCATTCCGGCCCCTGGAGCCTTTCAGGTAGAGGGCGGAGCTGCGAATAAGTCACTTCCAGACCAGCCGCAGAGACCAGCACGTGTCTGAGGATCCTCAGAGATGAGAACAGTTTAGGGACTGCACCGACTTTAGTAATCTCTCACATTCATACTTCTGCCGACCGAGTAGCATGTGGACGACGGGACACCGGACCAAAGGCGAGTTTCTCGCACGCCGAAAGCCGCCTCGGTTCAGCCTCTGCGGTGCTGCCGAGACCTGATCGGACCCTTGGGGGAGGAAGCCCTCGCCAGCTGGAGCGGTCGCTGCTGCTCCCCTGCCTCTCGCGGTGATGGGTCCTCTCTCGGCCATGCTCCTTCACGGACCCCGCTTCCTAACGCCGTCTCCCTGCTCAGCGCTGGCCGCTGGCCGCCAGAGGCAACTCCTGCGACGTGCGGCGGGAACGCGGGGTTCTCGTCTCTTCCCTGCCGCCAGCCCCAGGGCTCGGCAGCCACGCGGATGCTCCGCGCCCCAGGGCCCTCTCCCGGGGCCCGCGTGGGTTCGCGGCTGCGCAGTAGCTGAAGGAATCCTGGGCTGAAGTCGGGAGACTGGAAGTCTGGCTCTGTGTGGATCTCAGGCAACGTAATGAACCCCGCTGGGCTTCAGTGCCCGCATTTGCAAACCTCCGCGCAAGTCCCCCCCGCGTTCCTGGGGCGTCCACACGGCTCACGACGGAGCCTCGGGCCTGAGTGGTCTGGTCCCGGGGCACAAGCAGACGCCCCGCTGGGCGGTTTCCTGAGTTCGTGGGTGGTACGCTGTTGGGTCAGTCTGCTCTGGACATCGTTAGCGACATCCTAATTCTGTGTAACGACGACGTAAAAAATCAAGAATGAGCAAACTACACCCCGAAATGGGAATTACATGCAGTTGCTCTGCAGGGAACAAATAATACATGACGCAGCAAGGAAGCAGCTGAATTTAACGAGCCGCTGTCGCAGGCTCGTCACCAAGCTCGGCGGGGGCGGCCGGCCCGTGTCCGCCGGCGGGTCTGGGCTCCTCCCGCTGTCCGTCACTGCCCCACTGCTGCCCACTGCCCCCCGCGCCCAGGCCCCACGCCGCCCTGGGGGGGGCAGAGCGG